AGTCCATACCACTCCTGAGGCACACCGGGCTGGGGCCCCCAACCCTGACACCTCTGGGATCCCCCCACCAAAGTCCTGGCAGTCAGTCCCACTCCTTCAGCAAGCAGCTCAGCCCCTGCTCTCACCAATCACCCCAGGGTGACTTTGGGTGGGTGACTACTGGGGCTCCCCACTCCATACTCAGCCCTCACATCCTGCCACCCCAAGCCCAACCTCCCTGGGTTCTTTGGGCTCACCTCTCCAAGGACGTGGGTCCCCCCAGCCCCAGGCCCCCCCATTGCCATTCATCCCTGGGTGACTTTGAACTGGTGATTCCTGGGGTTCCCTGCTGCAGATTCTACTCTCCCCTCCTGCTGACCCAAGCCCAACCTCCCTGGGCTCTTTGGACTGGTGTCTCCAAGGACCTGGGTCCCAGCTCTATGTCCCCCTCCACCATCATGGATCGGTGACTCAGCCATTGCACTGATATGGTTTCCCCCACCCCCAGGAGGAGTGGAATGTAGTGATGTCACAGTCCCCCTATGAACTGTCATTACTGCTGCAAGACCGGCCATTGATCTTACGACCCTGTGCCCTAAGCATTCTCACCCCATTTCTGGTTCCTTGGGTCACAGCACAAATTTCCAGCTGGAAGGGGAATGGGGACTATGGGACCTAGGGGAAAGAGGTTTCAGGCTGCCTTACTCCCTTCACATAGACATTGGCAGTGTGAAAAGCCTACACTTCACCCGTGAGCTCAAAATGTTGACAGTATCTCTGGGTGGCAATGGGAGAACGAATTTGGTTTGGTTTTCTCCCAGCCTTCTACTCTCCAAAGAGAATTTAACATTTTTTTCTGAGTTCTCCACCTCACATTCTAATTCTCCACGGTTCTGGGACCAGAGAGAGCTTCAATCACTGGTCTCTGAAGTGAGATTTGCTCATCTTCTGTGGAATAGATCTTCGGAAACTGAACTTGACACCTTGAATCTTCCTCATATCATCTCAACCTGGGGCACTTTGAGTGCCACAGGATAAATGTGGGAGATCTTTCTAAAGCACCAGTTTCCCTTGATTCTCTTGAGAGAGGAAAAACATTAATGTACTTAGGGATGACAGTCACATACGTTTCTAAGAGTATACCAGACTTCTCTCTGAAATGAGACTTGGTTGTCCTCTTTCTGATAAATTCCCAGATTTAACAAAAAAAGCTGCCTTCTGCCATGAGGACACATTGATATAAAAGTTTGAGAGGTCCCGGTGCACTTCTTCACACTTACAGACGTGTGAGGATGTATGACTCCAAACCGCACAGCGTACAGTTCCTGCCTACTTAATGTTGACTTTTCTACCACTGCCTCTGGTTTTGGTCCCTGGCAGCTGCTGATTCATGGTAAAATCCCAGAGCTTGGAGTCAGAAGACTGAGTTTAAGTTCCATTATTGGCCCCCCCTGCCTTTTATTTTTAGCCATAATATCAATCCCTCTCAGTCACTAAGTGATTGTGGCAACACCATGTACAGTTCTTGGTGGCATTAAATCAGATGGTGTATAAGAGTATTTTGCAAAATCTGTAAAGGAGGATGTGGCCGTAGGGGCTGGTAGTTCTCATGAGTATTACTGCTCTTCTTTCCCACAGCTAAAAGAATATCAGCGGAGGAACAGCCCTGGTGTTCCTGCAGGAGTGAAGACAAAAAAGAAAAATACTGGCAGTAGCCCTGAGACAACCACTTCTGGTGGTTGCCACTCACCTGGGGATGTGAGTCTTGGCTGGCCAGTCTCCTGGGGACAGGGGGCCCGAGGGGCAGTGGAGGGTAATTATTGAGATTGCTGGCTACTTGTTAAGAATTCTCGGTTTGAATCCTGCCTCTCCATCTGCTAGGGATCTGATTTGTGTCAGTTGCTTGAGCTCCTTGGGCCTCTCTTTTCACATCTGTAAAATAGGGGTAGCGTGGTTTGACTTCCATTTGTGAAGTTTAAATGAGATTTCATATTGTTGTTGTTTTTATGTGAATCCCTAGTATATGGTCTGCTGTAAACACCCAGGACACCTAGGAAATGGTCATTGCTGTTTGATTTTCCTCATCCTCAGTCTCAAAGGGAACCTGGGCCAATGAGTAGTCACTTGCCATCAGGCTGTCCCTTTAGGAGTCACCGAAGGGGGCTCCAGTGTGTGGTGAGGAATGTCCCAGGCACTAGAAGTAAGAGAAGATCTAACTTGCCACCAGCGTGCTGGGTGACCACAGAAAAATCACTTCTTCTCCTGGGCCTCAGTTTCCTCCTCTGTAAGATGATACTGGACAAGATCAGTGTCTTTCAAACTTGCTTTTTAGCTGGAGCCCCCTTAGTTCAAGTGAACCCTTACTCAGAAGTCTGGTTTTATTAATGGAGGTGGAGGTCTGGATCATTCCAGATTCATCGCCCACATCCTGGGCCTGAGGAGAGGGGTCCAGTGAGCATATTAAGAGCTGCATTGGTCAGGTGACTCCACCCTGTGACTGCATCACTCAGGGAACATTTCCATCTATTTGTTCCTGCCCCTGGCAAGGCCGCAGGTGGCCATTTGGAAGAATGGCACAGGCCATGGTTTCAATCTCCTCTGCTCTTCTTCAGCATTTTGTTTTCCTGAACCCACGTCTTCCTCCTACCCTGACTTTCTTGCTTCTCTCTAAACCACTTCTGTCTTTCTCCCCCTGCCTTTGTTTTTCCCTTGTCACCTCCTGTAGATTCAGGACATTCTGAAGGTGCTTGTGTCCAACCTTAACCACTCCAATGGGGAAGTGCTACCCCATTGAAAATGTGGAAGGCGAGACAGTGCCAGGACCCCTCTCTGGCTTGCTGTCTGCAGCTGTGCATGCCCCTGAGGCTTCTCTGGTTTGGGGGATACTTTGCCTCTGCCTTGTTTTATGTTGCCGCCATTATTCTTCAGCCTGTTCATGTCTGCTTCTTCACCTGCTTGTTGAGTGGGTTTTTTCCTTCCCCACATCTTTTATCATCTTGGAAATGGTGACACATACCTTAAAGTTTAAAAGTAATTTGGGAGTAATGTACAGAGCAGGCATGTGGGATTTGGGGCTTTTTTTTTTTTTTTTTTGAGACAGAATCTCTCTGTCACCCAGACTGGAGTGCAGTGGTGTGATCTTGGCTCTCTACAACTTCTGCCTCCTGGCTTCAAGCGATTCTCTTGCCTGAGCCTTCTGAGTAGCTGGGATTACAGGCACCTGCCAGGGTGCCCGGCTAATCTTTGTATTTTTAGTAGAGACAGGGTTTCACCATGTTGGCCAGGCTGGTCTCAAACTCCTGACCTCAAGTGATCCACCCGCCTCAGCCTCCCAAATTTCTGGGATTACATGCGTGAGCCACTGTGCCCAGTCACTTACTGTTTTTGTACTTTATATCCATAACTGTTTCCCATGAAAGTTTTTTTTGGTTTGTTTTTTGTTTTTTGTTTTTTTTTTGCATTTCTCATTTTTGTTACCCCTGCATCATCTGCTACCCTGAAGAATCTAGAGGTAGGAGGCCCTGGGCCGAGGTGCAGTGACCCTTCAGGCCAGCCCTCCAACCTCCTCTCACAGCGGGAGCTGGGTGCCCCTCTGCCAGCTGAGACAGCCCACACACACCCCAGCCCTAATGATTGTTCTCTCTACCTCTCCCCGCAACCCTCCTCCAACTCCTCCTCTCTGCATGCGCCTCAGAGCCGGAACCAAGAACTGGAAGTAGCCCTGGACTCAAGCTCCGCAACAATCAATCAACTCAAGGAAAACATAGAATCATTGGTAAGAGTCCAGTGGGGTCTCCTGATTCCGTGCTGCCAATCCTGGACTCCAGTTTCCCCTTGGGGCCCTGAAGAAAGGGGCTGGGGCCCCTGGTGCCAAGAGTTAATGGGGAGCTGGAGTGCCCGGGGTTCACCTGGAGGGACCCCAGAGCAAGGAGCATGCAGCATGGCTCTTCTGTCACTCTCCTCTTTGCTGACTCTCTTCTTCAGACACCCCTGCTCCAGTCCTTGCCACACACACCCTGGGGTTCTCGCTTCTCAGGGAAGTGAGGGTTGTTAGGGGCTTCGTATTTCTGCCCTGACTCAGTCCCTAATTTGCTCTTTGAGTCTGGACTAGCCAGCTCTCCTCCTTGGGCTTGTGTTTCCGGAGGAGGTAGAGTATCAAAGGTCTCTGTTAGCTCTGAGTGTCCGAGAGTTAGAGGCCCCTAGAATGGGCCAGGCACAGTGGCTGAAGCCTGTAATCCCAGCACTTTGGGAGGCCGAGACGGTTGGATCATGAGGTCAGGAGATCGAGACCATCCTGGCTAACACGATGAAACCCCGTCTCTACTAAAATATACAAAAAACTAGCCGGGCGAGGTGGCGGGCGTCTGTAGTCCCAGCTACTCGGGAGGCTGAGGCAGGAGAATGGCGTAAACCCAGGAAGCGGACCTTGCAGTGGGCAGAGATAGTGCGACTGCACTCCAGCCTGGGCGACAGAGCGAGACTCCATCTCAAAAAAAAATTTTTAAAAAGCCCCTAGAATGGAAATCTCAGGGCCAACGGCTCCCGTCTGTCCTTTTCTGGCCTGTATCTGTGCTGTGAAGACCCGTACCTGGCCCGTATGTGCTCAGTAAACGTTGGTTGAATGAACACATCTTTCTAAATCACAAGCTGGCAGAAGGGAGGGCCTTTCTCAGACTCCGTCTCTAGAGGTTTATGTTACTATCCTTTGGAGAGAATCCAGATTCAGACTTTGAGTTCTGTGGCTGTGGGCAAAAACCAACAAAGACCCAAATCCTCTGTCTTTGGGAGCTGGAGGAGGGTTGACCAGTTCATGTTGCCACTGGGTCTGAGAACTTTGCCTTTAAAATCCATTCCTGGCCCCCGCCTACAACTTCCTGGTCTGGGGAATAGAGTTGAGGGGGCCCCCCCTCAGTCACCTGAATTTGACTCTCCCCACAGAAACAACAGAAGAAAGAAGTGGAACATCAGCTGGAAGAAGTAATGTGATTTCTTTGCTCACAACATGACTGCTGGGTTTGAGGGGCACTCAGATGTAGAGGCGCCGGTCTTGTCTCACCCATTCCCAGCCTGGGGAAGAAGGCTCACCCCTCAGATTCCACCCCATACCCACAGGGTCCCTGATAACCTGGTCCCATGGGTGTGCCTGTCCTGGGGCATTGGTGGCGTGCTGGGGGCATGTCTCTTGCTGTGCCATTTCTGCCTCCCCTGGATAAGAGCTCTGTCTTCCTCTTCCTACAGGAAAAGAAAGCAAACAGTGAAATACACAAAGCACAGACGGAGCAGTTAGAGGTGAGTGGAGGGTGGGGAGTTTTCTCCTGTCCTCCGGAGAATGGTTCTTTCCTTCTCTTTCAGCACTTGGTTGGCTTTTCTCCCAAACGTTCAATTCCAGACAATCAACATCCTCACATTGGAAAAGGCAGACTTGAAGACCACCCTTTACCATACTAAACGTGCCGCCAGACACTTCGAAGGTGGGAACGTGGGCACCCTATCATCCTTCAACCTGGCACTTTGACAGGTCTTTAGGGGGAGTCCTTTGGGCCCCATCTCAACCTCTCTCATTACAGAAGAGTCCAAGGATCTGGCCGGCCGCCTGCAATCCTCCTTACAGCGTATTCAAGAATTGGAGCGGGCTCTCTCTGCTGTGTGTGCACAGCAGCGGGAAGAGGACAGGGTGAGTCCAACCAGTTGCCCCGTCCCCTGGCAGCCTGGCTTCCCAGATGGAGGAGTGAGCCTAAAGTTCCCTTCTGCAGGATGCAGTGTCCTGCCCAGAAGACAGCATGCTCATTTCTCGCTGCTTTGTGTATGGTTGTTAGAGGCAGCCTGGGGCTGAGTCAGCTGGTGTGGGTGAGTTGGGGGGCACTGTGGGGAGCGAATACTGGACACAGAGCTCAGAGGCCAAGTTGCTGCCCTGCCCTTACCTGGCTGTGGCCTTGGCCAAGTCCTAGGTGGGGTATTGGGTACTTGTACTGTGAAGGTACAGAAGAGGACCTTTAGTATGTCACCATTTCTGTAGAGAGAGGAAAGATGTGTGTGTGTGTGTGTGTGTACATACTATTATACATAAAACATGTCTGCAAGTGTTCATAAAAAACTCAGGAGAGGGTAACAGGGTGGCTGGGAGACATTTCCCTTCTGTACCTTCTGAGTTTTGGACGATGCGAATGTATCATCCTTTCAAAAAGTGAACAAAAGATTAATTTTCCCCTTTCTATCTGTACCCCCACACCTAGCAAGAAAAAATGAGCTTAGAGAATCGGATAGACCTGGGTGTTCAAATCCCAGCTCTGTCTAAGTGATCTTAGGCAAGCACTTAACCTCGAATACTCCATGTTTTTCATCTACGCAATAGAGGTTACCCTAGTAAATGTCTCATATGTTGGTTAGGTTCAAACAGTGGTAGTAATAACAGTAATAACAATTGTAATATTATCTGATCTCTCTGGGCCTCCATTAGCCAGCTGTAAATTAAATCTCTTTCCTTGTCCCTTCCAACTTTACTGAGTTCTTTTAAAAACCAGACCACGGGCTTGGAAATGCCTTGATCTTTACTGACTGAGTTGTATATTGAGCCTAGCGATAGCCCTTTTGAGGGGCACTGCCCGGGCTCCCCACATCAAAACTTCTCACTCTTCACCATCCAGTCCTCGAGCCGCAGTGAAGCAGTCCTCCAGCGGCAGTTACGGCAGACCATAAAGGAGCGGGCGCTGCTGAACGCACACGTGACACAAGTGAGGCTTTGCAGAGGGAGGGATGTAGAAGGAAGATGACCCCAGGTGACCAGGAGCAGGTGAGGACCGGTGACAGCCCTTCCTCACTTCTGTGCCCATTCTTGCAGGTAACAGAGTCATTGAAACAAGTCCAGCTGCAAAGAGACGAGTGTGCTCAACATATAAAAGGAGAGAGGGCCCGGTGGCAGGAGAGGATGCG